GAAATTACGTCAGCCGCATAAAACAATAAGTTGGGCGAAAATTGCAGCATTGGTTCTCTAATTTTTATTTATTTTTATTTTTGCCCAAAAACTTCTTCAATTTTGCAATTAGGTCCCTAGTTGTGCAAAATCGTCCAAAACAGCTCCAATCTCTTATTTCCAGCTCCTAACACGAAACAATAACAAAACCAATAAATTAAATCCATCTGAGTCCATAAACTAATATAATAATAACAATTAAAACACAATTTATGTACTCTATCAAATTCCCCCACACTTGAAGTATGCTTGTCCTCAAGCATTAAAGAACACATGAATTCTAAAATTTCTCTTATTTAAGATGCGCCTTAGAAACTCTAACACTCAAAAGAAATTATGGTAACAGTGAAACAAATATTCACAACCAAGTCAAATACATTATGTAAGCTATGTAGTTGTTTTTCTAAGACGCAACTTACTTATATAGTCAATCTGATTCTATCTTGAGTAGTAGTTGAGAATTTTTCTAAGCTATATAGTTGTTGAATGAATTCATACATGAATGCACCATTGAGTGAAATGATTTGGTCATGAATGAATTTGTTTGAACTAATTTACTAAAATTCAATTGAAGGAACAAAAATATTAAAAGATCACATATTACTAGCATCCAAGCAATTAATAAGTATGCAAATGGTTGTGATTTATTTGAGGCCACCATTTTAAGTAATAATGCAAAGCTAGTCAGTTGAGTCTTGGAAACATTAATCCTGAATAAAAGTAAAGCTAGTCACTTCAATAGTACTTTGGTAAACGATGTCACATAAGAAGGTTATAACAAGATCATTTAGAACGGGATCATTTGAATAATTCTAACTAAAAACAACTATACTTTAACACGAATATAAAATGTATGTTTTTTTTTGGTTACATAAAATACAAATATGATTTGTTTCAATTATTAGATACATTTAATAATAATCCAATAAACGGGGTCACTTGGATATGGTTTATTGAAAGTTGAATTGGAACGCGATTATTTGGAAAAGTCCGACGAAAAATATAATAATTATTAACATAAATCTTAAATATATGATTTTGATGGTTGTATAATATATATGTTAAATTTGGTTTGAATTACTAACAATACTCAATAGTACTTCAATAAAGGGGGTTATCTGGGAAGAATCTATTGCAAGGCCAAAACATTTCTATACCATAATCAAACACCATTTCCTACATTATTTATGAACATTTAGACATTTGACCCCAACGGTTTAATCCAAAGATGGGTTAGGGTGTTAGTAAATTTTTAAACAATGAAAGTAGTGATTAAATAGAAAAATGTAAAATATTAAATGTTGGGTTAGGAAGTGTAGTAGGATTGTGGTGTAGGAAATTCTTAACGTTATTACAAGATGAATGAAAATGTACGGGGTCATTTGAAAATCTCAAAGTAAAAATAAATAATTTTGAAAATGAATATAAAATATATTAATTTTATAGTTATATGAACTGCATGAATGATATGTTTCAATTATCAGATGCATTCAATATTAATTCAATAAACAGGGACACTTGGGAAGATTTATAACAAGGTTAGTTGCAACGGGATCATTTTGAGAGACTTAACTAAAAATAAATAATTTTTTTACACAAATATAAACTATATCATTTTTATGGTTATATAAATTCACGTATCATTTGTTCAATTACTAAATATTCTCTATAGTATTTCAATAAATGTGGTCTCTTGTGAAGGGTTCGTTACAAGTAAAATATCTCTTACACCATAATCATATACCACTACCTACAACATTCACCAAAATGTTGACATGTGGTCCAAAGAGTTTATCCAAAGGTGGGTTAGGGTGTTAGTAAAATTCTTAAAGAAAAATGTAATAATTAAATAGAAAAATATAAAAATATTTATGGTGAGTTAGGAGTGTTGTAAAATTGTGGTGTAGAAGATCTTTAGCCCACTTGAGAAAGGTTTATTACATAGCAAAATATTTCCTACACTACTTTCTACATTATTTACTAAAATTTTGACACATGACCCTGACGGCTTCATCCAAAATATATTATTGTGTTAGTAAAACTTTTATAGAAATGAAGTGGTAATTAAATAAAAAAATATATATAAAAAAATATGGTGGGTTAAGAATTATTGTAGGATAATGGTGTAGGAGATCCTAATCTTTATTATAAAATGAATTGGAATGGGATATTTTTGGAAATGTCCAACTAAAAAAAAAGAATTTCCAACACATATAAAATGTATGATTGTTTATTGAAATATAAAATGTATGTATCATTTGTTTCAACTACTAGATGTGCTCTATAGTATTTCAATAAACATGGTTACTTGGAAAGTTTTACCACAAGATAAATTAGAACAGTTTCATTTGGAAAGGTCTAACTAAAACTAATAACTTTAACAGTAATATACAATGTATCATTTTTATGGCTATATAAAATGCACGGTTAATTTGTTTCAGATACTCCCTCCATTCCAAAACAAGTGTTATCCTACACTTTGCACATAGTTTAAGAAACTATTAATTAGGGTAACAAAATTACATGAATATCCTCAACTAACCCCATTAAAACAATCTCGACCAATAGTATTAATTGTTTTGAGGGTAATTTTGGAAACTTTGGACAAAAAATGCATTGAAATGTGAGAACGACACTTATTTTGAAATTTCTTTATGCTGCTAAAACGACACTTATTTTGGAACGGAGGGAGTACTAGATATGCTCGACAATAATTCAAAAAATAGGGTCACTTGAGATGGGTTTATTATAAGACAAAAGATTTTGTACCCCATTTCCTGCGGCATTCACCAAAATTTTGGCAAGTCATCTCGATGGATACATCCAAAGGTGAGTTAGGGTATTAGCAAAAATTTTCTAGAAGAAAAAAAGTATTTAAATAGAAAAATGTAAAAATATTATATGGTGAATTAAGAAGTGTCGTGGGATTGTGGTGTATGAAATATATAGCCCATTTGGGAAAAGTTATTACAAGGTAAGAGATCTTTAACATCATAACCTTATGCTACTTTCTGTATTATTTATCAAGATTTTAGCATATGGCTCTGATGGCCTCATTCAAGGGTAGGTTAAGATGTAAGTAAAATTTTTAAAGAAGGAAAGTAGTAATAAGATAAAAAACAAATATTAAAAAGTAGGAAGTATTGTACGATTGTAGTGTAAGAGATCTTTAGCATTATTACAAGATGAATTGGAACGGGATTATTCGAAATCAGACAACTATAAATAAATAATTTTTAACACAAATATAAAATATATGATTTCTATGGCTATATAAATTGTAGGTATAATTTGTTTCAATTACTAGACTTTTTCTATAATAATTGAATGAATGGAGTCATTAAGAAGGAGTTTATTACAAGACGAATTAGAAAAGGATCATTTGGAAAGGTCTAACTAAAAATAAAAATTTTTAACGCAAAGATAAAATGTATAATTTGTTTCATTACTAATATTCTCAATAGTAGTTTAATAAACGGGATCATTTAGGAAGTTTATTACAAGAAGAACTATAACAGAATCATTTGGAAAGATACAGCCAAAAGCAAATAAATTTAACGCAAATATAAAATATATGACTTTTTGGACTACAAGAAATGCATCTATGATTTGTTTTGTTTACTTAATATGCTCAATAGTATTCCAGTAAATGGGGTCACTTGAGAATTATTTTTGACAAGATGAATTGGAACGAGAATCATTTGGAAAGGTCTGATTAAAATTTTTTTTTTTAACACAAATATACAATGAATGATTTTTTTGTAGTTATATAAAATGCACGTATGATTTATTTCAATTATGAGGCATGCTTAATAGTGATCGCTTTGTTTATAAGAAAACTTTTTTGCGTTATACCATTGATTGAATCAAAGTTTGTTTTCATGCATGTTCTGAATATGATGGATAAAAATTTTAAAACAAAATAATATAACTAAAAATTTTACACAATAATAATAACAGCTTGCGTGCAACGCATAGTCATCTCTATGTTACATTTTTCAGGGTGAAATTCTGAGAAAGTCTTAAAGTGCTCATCTGCAACATGGGAGGATAATTTCCCAATTGCACCACCAGCATTGCCTGCAAAAAACGTTTCAAAGTATTTGAAACCGGATACTTTCATTTTTTTCTTGTCGAATTCTTTAACTTTTTTTCATTTTTCCTCTAACAAATTACATGCACGGTTTTCTATGGTTTATATTTGATGTTCTCAAATTATTATCAAAATATTCACATGTTTAATAATAAAAATTCATCGTTTCTGTTAATATATTTCGAGTGTAAAAACTATTATTTACATATTCAAACAATTATTGTTATGTGTCAGCGTGCAACATACGGGCATAGTACTAGTGTTTTCTAAAATGAAGAGGCTTGTCTTTTAACTAAGGCTACACACAAGGATATGATTTCAGTAGTTTAATAGTGAGAAACTCAATCATCCTAAATCAAGATTGGGCTTTCAAATTTTGTGAACACTGCGACATCAAAAAGAAAAAACAGGTTAGTGGTTAGTCTGTGTATATATGTAAAAAGAATCAAGGAGTGGAATGTAAATGTCAGGTTGGTTCTGGTAAATTAAAAACAACAGAAAAAGAGAGGTTAGTTTAACAGATTTAAAAGTAAAAAAAAAAAAGGAGTGGAAGCTTGCAATGTTTGTCAAGATAGTGAATCAGATCGGGTATTTGAAACTTGCGGACACCCCTGCCTGCATCGAAAACCATTAAGAAAGAGATCATTAGTTGAATAGAATATAAAATAAAAATGAAATAAAAAAGGAGTTGAGCGATTAAAAGCTAACAATATTGGATGTTCTAACCTTGCGGGGAGCGACCCTCTGTCACATTTGAAACTATCTACTGCAACAAGCACAACAAAGAAAAACATGATTAGGACAGCATGAATATGTTTTAAAAAAAAAAACAACCTTAGGAAAAAGCTCGAAACATGATCCCCTCTATTTAGCCACTGTAATCCCCGCCTGAAAACTTGTTCTCGGGATAAAACACCGCAACCACCGGATTCCCTCCGAATTTCCGGCCATTCAGTCCGTCCCGCGCTTTCACAGCGCTCTCCACGTCGGCAAACTCCAAGAAAACTCTACCAACCCCTGGTAATAGTTCCCCGTTCGGACCAGGCCGGGAAATCAGCAGGTTCGCCAGAGTCCCGAATTTCCCGCATTCTGCCCTCATATCATCAACTATCTCCTCATAATCATCATCATTCCGAAGTTCCTCAACATTAACAACATCTTTAAGACAAACAACCTTAGTTGGAGTGGCAAGAGCTTGAAACATGGACATTTTGATAGCAATCTGTTGTTGGGCTTGCTGGAAAGCCTGTTCTTGCCCCGGCTTGAGTTGCTGATTACAACCCTGATTTGCGCGCCGGACGGTAAGAATCTTCCGGCCGCCCATCGGAGTTCCGTTAAGATAGGCACAGGCTATATCAGCATCCGATGAATTGTGGTAGACACAAAAGGCATACCCTTTTGAGTTCCCAGTTTCTCTATCTCTGACCAAGTCAAAACCCCTAAGGGTGCCCAACGACTCCAGCAGCTCTTTGATTTCGGCTTCCGAGAGGTTATACGGAAGCCCGCCCACAAACAGGCGGTCCGGGCCATCAAGCCCGGTGGAGGAACCAGGATTCAGACCAACAGCAGCAAGGTTCAAGTTGGGATTAGGCTGGGTAGGAGCAATAGAGGCAGCTTCAATCGGGTCGTAATCCGTGGGTCTTTTAACCTTAACGGGTCCACCTTCAAAGATAATCCCATCTAAAGCCATAGCATTGCTGGCTTCTTCCACAGAACTCATCTCCACGAAGGCAAATTACTTCTCGTGGTTTATGTAAACATTCACCACCGCCTCTCCGGGCCAGGCACTGTTACCGCCCATGGCACTTATCACGTGGCTGAAGAACGCCGCCACGGAAGCCTCGGTCGCCGACGCCAGGAGCCCGCCTAAGTATACTCGCCGCGGGTGGCGGGTTGCCTGGAGGGGCAGGATATTGTGATTTGAGACCTGAACTGGAAGCTGGAAGGGGAATTGTATCGCCTGTGGAGGCTGAGTTAACTCAGGCGACGCCATATCGAAAAGGGTTTTTCGGGCAGATTTCGAGCGTGATGAACGAGAAGGAGGAGAAGGTGTGATTGGTCTCCTCTTTGAACTCCGGTCTCTAGATCTGGTTCTGTGGCGGCGCCAACTACTCGGCCTATCACAGTAATCTCTCCGCCGGTCTTGATTCTTGTTCCGATGGTAATCGCCGTCGTCTCGGTGCCGGTGACTGCGGTGCTCCCGATCCCCGTCCCGGCTGCTTTTGCTGCTACTCCCGGTTTGGGATTGAGGAGGGGAAGGAACATCGGAATTTTCCAGCTCTTCGCCGGTGTTGTTACCTCTGGAAGCTGCCGCCGATGACATGGTTTTTCTCTTTGTTTTTGCTCACTTTTTTTTTTACTTTCTTTTGCTCAGTTTGTTTTCTTTGTAATCTGAATGAATGGAGTTAATAAATAGAAGTGCACCGCCTCTCTGTTAAAAGTAACCGACTGATTTTGTGGCGTTTCTTCTTCTTCGGAATTGATTATTGACACAGGTTTTCTTCGTAAAACCGAGTCATATATATAGACCTTCGGTGCTGCAAGGACTAATCCGAAAGGAATTCGGGATTGGATTATTAGCCCGGATAAACAAAAGTTGATAAATGGTAATAAGAAAAAAAATCTGATAATAATAAATTATATAGATTAACTAATTCCCGGCCACTTTTTTTTTTTATTAAATTGCCCTTTTATTTTTTGAGGTATACTATACAAGATGTTAAGATCGTGCGATATACGGGATTTATCTGAACACAATGTGGTAAAATCATTAAAAAGTGAAAATGTGACATTTTCTTTGAAAGTAATAAATAAATCTAATAATAATAAATAATTTTAGATTAACTAATTCCCACTTTCTTTTTTTTTTTTAAGTAATATTTGCCTTTTTTGGGGTATATTATACAAGATGTTAAGATCGTTCTATATACGGGATTTACTTGAACGAATTATCTGAACGAAATGTGGTAAAATCATTAATAAGTGAAAATGTGACGCGCAGAAATAATGTTAATGAGTTTTGATTGTGTAGATGATATGACGCAATGTAAATTATAAGAACTACTTACAAATACAAAAAGTACTATTATCGCTTAAATCAATTGGTTTGTAATTTTATAAACCTTTATCATTTAGTTTACCACGAGCAGTTTAGTTCATTAATTTAGTTGGTCCGGTTTATTTCGTTCCTCCTTTAAAATTAAAAGTAACCCATTGAGGTTACTAAACGCCCTAAAAATGTCCTTTGAGCGCCCTAATATAATACTAAAAGACCATTTTGCCCTTACATAATTTTATAAATTATAAGTTTCAATTTCATTCTTTCAATTCCTAAATCAATCTTTCATTTCAAATTCTCTCATTCCAAACTCCCAAAAAGCTATCTACTGCAGTTTAGTCAAATTTAAGTCGTTAATCCTATTTCTTAAGAGGTCGCAATCACAAACTATATATGTGGAAAAAGAAGAAATGTAAGGAAGAAGGAAAAAAAAATTTGTCCTTCTGTCTCAAAATTATTGTGCCGTTTGAGTTTTCACTTTTAGTACAATTTAAACAAAAAATGAAAATCTAAACTGGACAATAATTTTGGGATGGAAGGAATATATTATTTTGTAAGTCTCTCGTTAATGGAACCATGCTGCAAGGTAGATTCACATAATCTCAGACTCAAACTTACGAAGGGGACATTTCTAATCGGTAAAGGGACATAGGTAAAAAATAAAAAAAATGATTTAAAAAGTTCAAATTCTAGAGAATAACATTTATTAGTCTTAAAGAAAATGTAGTGATTATTGTAGTTTAAATAAATTTTGTAGCTGAATGAATTTCCAACAATATTAAAAAAATGAGTAATGATATACATAGTGAAAAATTGTAGTGACTTTGGATAATGACGAATGAAAAGACAAATACACAACACACTTACTAAATATGTCTAGTTATTAATCAAAGGTAAGAATATAATTTTTCGGAAAAATAAAACTTCAACAGGAAAGTGACAAAACACTAGAGGCCATGATTAGTTCACATCAGTCACTATATTTTGTTATTATTTTTATTCACTGTATATATATCAGCTTCCAAGAAGAATTAAGTGAACTTTTTGTCTTGAAAACACAATATACTGCACTTGGTACTACAAATTTCCAACTTAAACATACAAAAATGCACTATAAAAACACAGCTGCTTTCGAGACGGCTTTTTTATCAACTTTTCGCCCTATTCCAGTGATTTTCACCGCTTCCTCATGAATTTATCTTGAATCTGAATCTTTTGGTTCAGATTTGCTGCTTTGATTCTATGAAAATTATCCAAGACTTCAACTGATGATCCGAGTTCTTCCCAAATCCCAAGACTGATCATCAAGTTCCAGTTGCTTCAATTAAATCACGGCTTTAGTATGTCACACGTTCAACAACAACGATAACGCCTTCAGCTCATGATCTCAATAATCACGTGGTGTAAGCGATTTAGACCGTTATTAGAACTAGCATTTGACAAGTTTTTATGTACGTACAACGTGAAGTATTATTATGCAATCTTTTCCTTCAAATCTTGTGAAGTAATTCTTCCGCTCCAAAATTCAAAATAAAAAGTTAAAATGGACAATAATTTTTTGTCAAAGTGAATTAGAACTAAGTTGCCCGAACCAGGACTTTTAGGCTTTAGTACTACTTGTATATACAGTAAATATATGCCAAATAGCAGCCGCAAAACATGGCTGCACTCTGACAATCGTTTCTTAATATGTTCCAAAGATCACTACAAAAGAAATGAATAAGTTAGACACTTTTTTGTGTATCAATAAGTTGTGTAATAGGACACATGTTACTTAAATTGTGCGAGACACTACTAAATAGTGTCTCCTATAATCGAGTCACAATAAGTTATAAAACATTTGAAAGTGTTTTATTAAATTATCACTCACTAACACACTTTAAAGTGACCCATTAAGTAAGGCAATCGTTCACAAGTAACCCCAAATAGTACACTTGTGATAGTGTTTCATAATATGAGTACACTTTTTCATTTTCAATAAGACACTTTTTAGCAAATGTCCTAATACACATATAATAAGATACATTTTAGGAAAAGTGTCCCACCAGAAAGGTATTAATAGCCCATTTTTGTTGTAGTGGATTGAACTTAATGATCGCGACGTGACGTGCATGTACCCATTGGTGGGTTTATAAAATCTTAATCAATCATCTTCACATTTTAAGAGTTAGATGAAGGATGTAAATGATAAATGATGATGGCAATTAGTAATGGTGAAGAACTTCCTGACGCTGTTTATGGAAAAAAAATATATTAAAAATTCACAATAAGATTACGAAAAAATTTCAAACGAAATATATTTTGCACATTCAAATTGAATCACTCTAAATGCCAATCTTTTTTTTAATATTCGTGTATAGATGACGTGAAAATCCAAGTAAGACAGTTTTTTTCTATACAAACTTAATCGTTGTAATATTCATTTTATTAAAAAAATGTTAAAACATAACGGGTAAATCTAAGGAAAAAATTCAAGTCAACCATTCTTCTTATATTTAACCTCAAAAGAAATTTAAATTGTAATAATATTAATACCACTTAATTTTTTATCTCATTTTTACTGTTCATTTATTATTTGTATAATCTATTTTTCTTTAAATTCTATTTCATAAATCAACCGTTAATCCAATAAGTAGCATTTTCTTCACAATTAATAATCATTAATAATACATTTTAACATATTTCGTGCAACGCACGGGAGAAAAACTAGCTTGCTTTTATTACTGAAGTGCCTTTGTCGATTACAAATATCAACGCCCATTAATCCACAGACGAGCCAACCATAAAACAACTCTTTATGGACTAACTACTGCTTGAGCATCAGTCGTGCGATGCACGATGTACCCTATAAATAATCTGGTGTACTTAGTTTGATTTGTAGTAAGTTAATTTTGTTATTATTATTTTGAATTATTGAAAATTATCAAAATTCATAAGTGGTATCAACATTTACATAAAATATCAGGATTTAGCTGTCAGATATTAGTAGGTTTAAAAATCGATTCCGAAAGTCCAAATAACTTAGGAATCAAAACAAATTTAACCTAAGCTCAACAGTAAATAAAGTAGTGGCAGGAGATAACCGATATGTATTATCAGATGGCCATTCCATGGCAGTTAGTGTTTTTCACATAGTTTGCGCTCTCCTTGTCTTCTTGTTAACCCACCCACCGCTCTTGTTTAACATTCATTTTTTCTCGGGTTCTCTTTTTTATTAATTTGAAGGAAATTGATTAGTCAAAGTTAGTATTCCATTAAATTTATTTTTTTCTTTCTTTTGTTCTTACTTTGTTTCTTAGGGGGAGAGAACATGTTGATTCTAGAGCTCATTAACCAATAATGTCATTTCTAACTACAGGCTTGATGTAAGTAACAAAATTAATTACTCTAAAAGTACTAAAAGGATGCAAGCAATATTCACTTAGAGTTAAAACGAAAAAATGCACACTTTGGTCCAAATAGTGAGGTTTTTTTTTTTTTTTTCAAATTCTCCATTAGTTCTCAAAGGAAAAAGGTGGCAGTGACCGGCGGTGGGCGGTTAAGTTGGCTAAAGGTATAATTGGCAAATCAAAAAATAAGGAACACTTCCCACGCACGTGACTAGCACGTGTTTGCTGCCAAAAATAAGAAGCGACAAATTCAAATTTCAAAAACAATTGACTTTGCAGTCTTGAGCCGCCGCATCAACGGACAACATCAATAATTAGCGTTACCGTAAACCACCACCAATCTACTGGAGTCAGCGCCAGTCAATCGCCGGATCATTACCGATCCATCGCTGTCCGGTATATATTCCGTTTATATACCGTCAACTACGCCGGAATTTTTGTCGCTCGGTAACGGGAATTTACTGTTTCGACATCAGAGATGACCAATTCCCACAGACCGCCAAATCTCGGACAAAATTTTATTTGTTAAAAATGTCTTCGACAACACAACGGGACAAATTTTTTATTTACCCAAATAGATAATTTGAATATGTTAGCCGAGTCCAATAAAACTAAATTTAAAAATAATTGTAACAAACCATAGCCCAACCCAATCCCATTGCCATATAAAGCTACTAAACTCTAAACCCTAAAAGAATTACTTCATAAAAAATTTTGCTGCCAAATCAAGGATCGAGAAAATCGGGGAGGCAATTTCGGGACTAGATAATTCGAAAGGAAAAAAAGGGGGATTTGGGGCTAAATTTCGATATTCTCTTAGATCCCGACAACACTCCGTCAATTGCATCCAAAATCAATCACCAATTCATCCAAATT